CTGGAGGCATCAGCTGGGGCAGACCAGACTAGGTAGGGAGGGGCAGTGCCTGGGGTGGAGTTAGTCCCTCCCCCTACTCAGTTCAGAGGGGGATTCGGGGCTGCAGGATGGGGCGGGTGGTGAGCTTGAGCCCAGACAGATGCCCCCGGGCTAGGGGGCAGCACCTGCAGTGCTCAGATCAGAACTGGCTACCAGGGAGCAGGGAAGGCGAGAGATTTCCTCTGAGGCAACAGGGCTCACAGACCTCCCAGCCTGACCCAGGCCCAGACTCCCCGATTCCCAGCAAGACTCCCTGGCCGGTCCCCAGCTTTGGATCATAGAAGATCAGGGTTGGAAGAGACCTCAGGAGGTATCTAGTCCAACCCCCTGCTCAAAGCAGGACCAATCCCCAGCTAAATCATCCCAGCCAGGACTTTGTCAAGCCGGGCCTTAAACACCTCTAAGGAAGGAGATTCCACCATCTCCCTAGGTAACGCATTCCAGTGCTTCACCACCCTCCTAGTGAAATAGTGTTTCCTAATATCCAGCGTAGACCCCCGCACTGCAACTTGAGACCATTGCTCCTTGTTCTGTGATCTGCCACCACTGAGAACAGCCGAGCTCCATCCTCTTTGGAACCCCCCTTCAGGTAGTGGAAAGCAGCTATCAAATCCCCCCTCATTCTTCTCTTCTGGAGACTAAACAATCCCAGTTCCCTCAGCCTCTCCTCATAAGTCATGTGCTCCAGTCCCCTGATCATTTTCGTTGCCCTCCGCTGGACTCTCTCCAATTTGTCCACATCCCTTCTGTAGCGGGGGGACCAAAACCGGACACAGTATCCAGGTGTGGCCTCCCTTCCGATTCTGGGCTGGGGTTTCCGGGGTGTCCTTAGCACTGCAATTCTCTGCTGTGTAACTGGAGATTTCAGAAGCCGGCACCAACGCTCGCCATTTTTTATCTTCAGTCTCGTGACGCTTGGGGGTGTTTGAATTCAAGCCCCAGGTGGTGCAGCCGGGAGATGTGCTAACAAGCTCAGCCTGCATTTACAGCAGGACGCCTGGGTTCTATCCCTGACTCTGGGCGGGTAGTGGGATCTAGTGGTTAAAGGGGGGGGGGGGCTGGGAGCCAGAACTCCTGGGTTCTCTCCCCAGCTCTGTGAGGGGAGTGGGGGCTAGTGGTTAGAACAGGGGAGCTGGGAGCCAGGACTCCTGGGTTCTCTCCCCAGCTCTGCGAGGGGAGTGGGGTCTAGTGGTTAGAACAGGGGAGCTGGGAGCCAGGACTCCTGGGTTCTCTCCCCAGCTCTGTGAGGGGAGTGCAGCCTAGGGGGGCAATCTAGGAACCAGAACTGTGTACTCCCAAAACAAAAATGTCTACGTATTTCCTTCCCCTACACACCAGGCCAACCCCATTGGTGGCACATGGCATCTGTGTAACTGACAGGAGAATTTTAACCAGAAGAGGAGACAGTCATGGTAGTGGGGGAGCAGGAATTATTTGCTGTGATAGGACACTCTAGACCCCACACCCCTCCCAGAGCCAGGCAGAGAACCCAGGTGTCCTGGCTCCTAGCCCCCCCTGCTCTAACCCAGTAGACCAGTGGTTCTTAAATTTTTGTATTGGTGACCCCTTTCACACAGCAAGCCTATGAGTGCGACCCCCCCCACCTTATAAATTAAACCCATTTTTTAATATTTAACACTATTATAAATGCTGGAGGCAAAGCAGGGTTTGGGGTGGAGGCTGGCAGCTCGTGACCCCCCTGAGGGGTCACAACCCCCAGTTTGAGAAGCCCTGCCTGAGACCCCCCCTCCCCTCCGAGGCTGGGGAAAGAACCCAGGAGTCCTGGCTCCCAGCCCCCCACTGCTCTAACCACCAGTCCCCACTCCCCTGGCAGAGCTAGGGAGAGAACCCAGGAGTCCGGCCCCCCGGCGGAGGCGGAGCTCGAACCCGCGCCCAGCTGTTCCGCGCCGCGGGGCGAAGGACCATAGAGCGTGTTCCTTGCTGGCGCCGGGAGCAGGCGGGAGCGGGAAGTAACGTAACAGGGTGGGTGGGTTGGGGACAGGATACGTAAAGGGACCTTCCTCCGCTCGCCAGCCAGTCACCCTGAGCCCCGGCCCGGCGCCTGCCCACCCCGGGGGGAGCCCGGATGCGAGCCCGGGCCATGGGGGCCGCTGTGCGCACGGGCAGCCGGGGGGCGTAGCGCTCCCCCTCCCCGGGCAGCGCCGGCCGGAGCGGTGAGTGGGGCCCGGGGGGGGCAGCGGGAACAATAGAGGGGGAGCGGGGGGCGGTTCAGAGGGAGACGCCGCTCTAGCCCTCCCCGTGCAAGAGAGAGAACCCAGGAGTCCGGGCTCCCCCCTTAATCCACTCGACCCCACTCAGCTAGGGAAAGAACCCAGGCGTCCGGGCTTCCTACCTCCCTTACTCTAACCCACCAGACCCCATTCCCCTCCCAGTGCAAGAGATAGAAACCCTCCCCCCCCACACACACACTTTAACCCACCAGACCCCACTTCCTCTCCCAGTGCAAGAGATAGAACCCCCCCCCACCACACACACACACTTTAACCCATTAGACCCCACTTCCCTTCTGCAGCTGGGGAAAGAACCCAGGAATCCTGGCTCCCAGCCCCCGCCCCAAGCAGTATTAGTGGGGGCTGGGAGCCACCCCTCAGTCCAGCAGGGACCCCCAACCGAGTCAGTGGGGGTCAGGGGTGCTGGTTCTCCCAGAAATGTGCCTGTTCAAACCTTGTCCAGCTCTTCCGTTGCTCCACAGGTAGCCGGGGAGGGATGGGGGGGGGTCATTGCTAATCCCTAGTGAACGAGGGGTTGATCTGCGTTAAAATACAGCCCAGTCACTTCTGTGCCATCACACGGCGTCTAGCGCGGTGGCTGCGAGAGCGAGCGGCGTCCCTGGACGGAGATGCACGGCGGAGGGCGCTGGTTTTCCCTCTCCGTCTGAGGCTGGCGAGACTGGTCCAGGCGCACCTTGTCTAGGGCTTGTGTCAGGGTTCCAGATTGGGGGTGGCTTCGGAGAGGCCCCACAAAATCGCCTGACCAGAAGTCAGGAGTCCTGCGTTCTCTGGGACGGGAGTGGGGTCTAGTGGTTAGAGCAGCGGTGCTTGGAAGCCAGGACTCCTGGGTTCTGTCCCTGGCTCTGGGAGGGGAGTGGGGACTAGTGGTTAGAGCAGGGGGTGCTGAGAGCCAGGACTCCTGGGTTCTGTCCCTGGCTCTGGGAGGGGAGTGGGGACTGAGTCCTGGGAAGCAGTGACTCTGAAAAGACTCGGGGTTCGTAACAGCCACACAACCCAACACGAGCTCCCCGTGATACAAAGGGCTAACTGGACCCTCGGCCATATTAACCAGAGCGTCAATGCTGCTGGCAGTTCTGGGGGCAGGGAGGTGGCCCCACAAAAACTAGGCGAGGGCGGGAGAAAGCCACTGCGAGCGAGAGACTTCCAGAGCTCAGCCAAAGGAAGATGGAGAGGCGACCGGAGACAGTCCTTGCTACTGACGAGCTCCTGAACCTAGCAGAGAAAGGGCTGAAAAAGCCATGGCCGGCAGCTAAAACCCAAACACATTCCCATGTGGAATGAGGCAGCACCTGTTCAAGGCTGTGGGTGATTGTCCATTGGAACAAACCCCTAAGGATTTTCCATCTCTTGAGGCCTTCCCATCTCGACTGGCTGCCTTCTCGGAAGAGGCTTGAACCAAACACAAGTGACTGGGCTCCCTACCAGGGGAAGCGGGTGCAGTTCTCCGGCCTGGGTTATACAGGAAGGCAGACGGATCCTGGGCCCGGCCGTTTAAATAGGATGAAATTCAGGAAGGACCCATGCAAAGGACGAAGCTCAGACAGCAGCAATCCGTGGCCCAAAGCGGGGAATGACGGCCTAGGAGACAGTGCTGCAGAAAAGGACCCGGGGCCAAGAATGGATCACAGACGAAATATGAGTCAACAAGGTGATGCGGTTGCCAAACCCCGCCCCGCGAACGTTGTTCTGGGGGGATGCAGGCGAGAGCCGGGAAGTCATTCTACCTCCGCGCTCAGCGCTGCGAAGGCCTCAGCTGTGTTCAGTTCTGGGCCCCACGTGTTGGAGAAAGAGCCACAAAAAGGAGGGAACGGTCCAGAAAACGGGATTTACGGGGAGAGGTTGAAAAACCGGGGTTGGTTTCGTCTGGAGAAGGGAAGACAGAAAGGGGACCCGAGCACAGTTTTCGAGCACATAAAAGAGGGTTACAAAAAGCAGGGTGATCGATTCTTCTCCTTATCTGCTGCAGACAGGACAAGAAGCAATGGGCTTCAATTGCAGTCACCACGTGTCCTAGGGGGCTAATGGGTTAGAGCAGGGGGGGCTGGGAGCCAGGACTCCTGGGTTCTATGTTGAGCTCTGGAAGAAAAGTGGGGTCTTATATAGTGCAGCACCATGTGTGCTAGGGCCCGATCTCTATCCGGGTTTGTGCAGCACCTGACACGACAGGGGCCCCTGATCTCAGTCAGGGTCTGTCCAGCTCCCAGCAGAATGGTGGTCCTGTAATTTTAAATCATAATAGTAATTAAAAGAGTCCACAGGCTGTTAGGTGGCTTTAAAGTTGCTGAAAACACAGCAGGGGGTGGGGAAGGTGTTGTCGGGTTTTTAAAGGGATAAAAACCAAACGCGTGGTCCAGGTTTCCTGAGTTGAGGAGTGAAAGCGAAGCAGCTAAATCCAGTTTCAAGGAAGTCAGGACCGGATCCTGGTGCAAATCCGGAGCGACCCCAGTGCAGTCACGGCTGGGTTCTGATCTCAGGGACCCTGTCCCTAAACTGGGTGAGCTGGGCTTGCAACCAGGGATTTCGGAGCCCGAAATCTCAACTCTGCCACTGACTCATCGTGTGCCCCCGGGCACATGACTTCATCCTTCCAATTCCGCTCCCAGTGTATCAGGCAGGGCTAAGAATACCTACCTCACAGGGCTGTTGGGAGGATTAATTAGCTAATGGCTCTAATTGCTTTGAAGGTTAAAAAAAAACCCAAAATCCTGCATGGAAACTGACAAGGGCTGTAAATTTCGTCTGAATAACCCAGGCCGGGAGGTCAGGTTCCTGGGGCTCCGGAATCAGGCGTCGGATCTCGGGGACCCCTGTGTAAATCTGGAGCAACCCCCACTGACACCTGTGGGGACAGGGATCTGGGAGGGGAGGGGAGTGGGGGCTAGTGGTTAGAGCAGGGGGGGCTGGGAGCCAGGACTCCTGGGTTCTCTCCCCAACTCTGGGAGGGGAGTGGGGTCTAGTGGTTAGAGCAGGGGGGGCTGGGAGCCAGGACTCTTGGGTTCTCTCCCCAACTCTGGGAGGGGAGTGGAGTCTAGTGGTTAGAGCAGGGGGGGCTGGGAGCCAGGACTCCTGGGTTCTCTCCCCAACTCTGGGAGGGGAGTGGAGTCTAGTGGTTAGAGCAGGGGGGGCTGGGAG